TGTCTTTGTTCTCAAATTGTCAACGATTTTACTGTTGAAATGGATCTATGTTTCTAGAAATTTTTCTGATGGAATTTACCAAGAAATCTATGTCTTGACTTAGTATTGAAAGTATTTAAGGCACTAAAAATTGCGAAACTATGAAAACCAATTACGCACAAATATCTATATATCGATAACTTTGGAGAATAAAGCAACTTAAAGCTTCTTCTTCTTTCAGCTACTAGCAATCCTTCATTAATTGAAGATTATTCGCCGGGCGTCGATTTGCGTGGCGGTTGGTCTATGCGCATCAGGAGTCGCGTACCATGTCGATCAAACCAGTATCACTCCATTTGAATATTTCCTCAGGTTTCGCTTTTTTTTAATTTTGATTTTGTGTATTTTTAACTGATTTGAACATGTTGAACATTGGAAAACTACAGTTACTTTTAATTATGCACTAGCTAGATCATGTTATAAAATTAACTTGATATAGAGATGGCGAATTTATTTTTATCTCCTCAATTTCGCGTGTCCTATTTAATATCGACAAACATCAGTCCTTTTTTACAATAAAATTCATTCATTGGCATCATAAATAAGACTGGTATGCCTCGAATAAAGAATTAATTGTTGCGTGTTGTTATTGTGTAAGAGTTGAAGGGTACATGTTAAAGGTATCTTTTAATAAAAGATGAAAATAATATCGGGAAGAAGTTATATAATCGCTAATGATAGTGCAATAATTTGCAATTATGAACTTTTAAGTACAAAACGATGTGGAACGTGTGTCGTCGTATTGCTTACGCGTAAAAACATGTCGGGTATGACGTAAGCAAAAACTGACAATTTAAGATAAAAATAATATCCGAAAAAATATATATAATAGTCAATGCATGGCAATGTACCCAATTCGTATTGGAAATAAACCCCTCAAAATATATCGTTGAAACAGAATTTGAATTAAATGGAATTAAATGCACGTGAACAGGCATAATTTAACGGTTTGAATTAAAGATTACGAGTGGACATCTTTAACAGGTGAATATCATCTGTTTTAGCACATCTTCCATTTTGTCATATACACAAAGAAACAGAAACATTTATATGACATTATACTCATAACAAACAGACCCTCATAAAAAGTGAAAACCGCCAATAAGTCGGGTACGCCACACTGAAATCTCGATCCTCTGGAAGTGATTGCGGTATCGTTCATCTTGAGTTAACAGAAATAATCTTTCAACAATGATTTCACAAAACTCCTGAAAGGATAATGCATCTCTCATTTGATATCAAGTTTTGGAAGCAATTTGTCATTCACATGAATATGCAGTTTTTTTACTTATGTTATAAATCCATATCTCAATTGGAAGACATTTTTATATGTGGAAGGGGTTATTTTCTTCATTTTATTCAAAATGTATTATTTAACCACATTTTGGTATAACGATTCGTTCTTAATAGCATTATTTCATTGATTTGTGTTCAAAAAGTTTTTATCTTGATCGATTAAAGGATTTCTTACGACTGCAAGGGTCATGTGCCATAATTCGAAAAGAGATCACATATTTACATTTTACATTTCCTTAATGTTTGATAGCAATTAAATTTTGCAGGATTTTTACAGAAATTTTTATTGATTTTTTTAATTGTCTGAATATGCCCGTTTAATAAGACTAGGCACCAATGTTAGAATCGTGCATCACAAGTTTGGTTCCAAATTGCCAAATAGTTTTAAAGTTAAAATGTCTTGAAAATAAGCTTATGCCAGTCGATTGACGACGAAAGCCTTGTAAAAGGCGATATCAGCTGAAATTGCAAAAACGAGATTTCAGATGTTATCGTATCTGTTATAAAGAATGGAGAAAAAAGATTTCCCCCTCTTTTTGCAACTATATGCGTGTATCAACTCTTTCTAAAAGACGAGTTTACTAGAACGTAGCACCGATTAGAGACCCAATAAAAAGGCAACTTGTTTTACAAAGTTTTGCACTGAGCAAATTTACATTCAGATAGAAATTAATATAGTTTGAACCTCTATGTACCCTGAGCTCGAAACATGATGCCTGCGATCATATTTTAGTCAATCTAACACTCAATGTGAACTATGGTTTCAAACCATTTTCTTATAGAATAAACAACGAGCTGGTGTCAGACAACAGTCAATTATTACAATCGTCATGAAAAATGCATATTAGTTACTAAACAAGTCTTATAAAATTTATTATAATTGTTTTAATATTTTAAAAGTGAAAAAAAAACTTTCGTTGATATCTCTGAACGTCCTAGTGTTGAGTTCGTCGTTCTACATTAAATATATACGCCAATGCAGTTGAATTCAATTTTAAGAAACAAATATACAGATAAAATTGTTGTATTAGTTATATATCTTAATCGTGTCTAAATAAATTTATAAAAGTACTTGAAATACCTCGGATGAGTTTTGATAGTCTGAGCTAGTATTTATGAATGTTTGATTACTTGCCATTTAAAGTTGGGGTTGACCTAATAAAAGGTTTATAAAAATACCCTTTTGAGATAATGTTTTGTGTCAACATCTTGAAAGGTTAAATATAGAGTATATATATATATAGTTTTAAGATTAGATGTATTCATTTGATATGGGGAAAGGGGATCGGCTTCTGGAAATCAATGTAAACACAATGTTATTTTGCGTGTGAATCCATAATACTATGTGCTATCCATTTAAATGCCTAATTTTATAGGTGAATTTTCCAAACATTTTAAGTTGTTTTGTGATAACTGGTTTAACTTTAATTACGTTATACAGAATAGGACTAATAAAGTTACTTTACTTCTAATTAAATAATATATTCAGTTCTGACCACAATTTTATTTTAGTACAACCATGATTCATATAAGAATAATCAAATACGAGGCAAAATAAAAAAGAAGGGACAACACCATGCCATACAAAGAAAAACAACGAAAAGACAAACAACGATTAAACGCTACATAAAAAAGTCAAGACTGAGCAACAATAACCCTACCAAACATCGGGGGGATCTCGGTTGCTCCGAAAGGGGCAAGCAGATCCTGTTCCACATATAGCACCTGCCGTGTTGCTCGTGATTAGTACAATTTTGGTGATAAGTCTCATTCTATGTTGTCACAATCAAGAAAAAGAAGACACTGGTACTATGTCTAATACCTTACTGTCTTACGTTCTATGGTATAGTTGCTTTCAAAAACGTCCCAAACTCTGAATTTTTTAGTGAGAGGACATCATTTATTAAGCGGAACGTGAAAAAAAGACAAATAATTGTCTACAAAACACTAAATAGAAAACTGAAGACAATTAAAAAGAAAATTCGGACCTCTTATTTGATATTTATATAAATGTTCACAAAACACTGCATTGAAAACTATAGACGAACCAAACCAAAAATTTGGGGTGATACCAGGTGCCACGAGAAAGGCAAGCAGATTGTGCTCTGCTAGTGACACCCGTATAGTTTTTCATAGTTTGAACAAATACGTTGATAACTGATCAGATATGTCATATTCGAGGAAAAAAGGATGAAATTCTGGTTACGACAATAGGAACATATCCAATGGTCAATATTTTCTCCTCGGCAACATAAAATTTGAAACATAGAACAATTACCATGTACAACCAGTAACGTTGGAACTGCAAATTGTTTGAATTTTCATACTTATCATTTCAACAAATATAAACTTTTTCGAAGCCAAATCTTTATGTTTTTTGTGGTGTTCTAACTGCACATTTTTTTCAGTTTTAAATGTGTTCTTGCTGCTTAATCTTTAGTTTTTTGTTGTTCTTGCTGCTCGATCTTTAGTTTTTGGTGGTTTTCTTGCTGCTCAAACCTTTATTTTTTGTGTTGTTCTTCTTGCTCAATCTTTAGTTCTTAGTGGCTTTCTTGCTGCTTAATCAATCTATCTTTAGTTTTTGTGTAATTATTTTCGAATTGTAGTTTGTCTGTTCATCTTTGGACCTTTAATTTTCGAATTTTTGAGACAAACATTTTGTTTAGTCAAAGAGCGTTGTAAGACAGTACTTTGGATTAAAATTGGGCAAATAATACCAAGGGGGAAATCATGATATATAAGTTGAAGTAAAACTGACAACACAAAACGTAGACATTTTTCCTGGTTATATTCCAACATCAATATTAATGCTAAAAAGACCTTTTTCAAGACCTCTTTCATTAATAAGACTTTTAAATAGAAAAAAAATATTGACTTTCTATATGATTCCTCGGAAAACAAGCTTATCTATACCTCTTTTATAATGGAACACTCTGAGCACAAATGTGTTTTATTGAAATATTAATAGAAAGAAAATTGTATAACTGAGTGGAGATTTCGAAGGATTAAACAGGACGATGTTATTTTTTTATCTCGACTTAAAACGTGACTAGCTCACAATCTAGGTTTTGTTTTCATTGTAAAGTTAAACATCTAAAACAAAAAAGTTAAATCACAAAAATACTGAACTCCGAGGAAAATTCAAAACGGAAAGTCCCTAATCAAATGGCAAAATATCTTTGATTTTGAACTAAAGTAAAGCAACACAACGCAGACAAATTACATACGCCGACAATCAAATATAAATAAAGCAATGAACATACAGTATGAAATACTTTAAATAAAACAGGGAAATGGAATATGATCCGTTTTTACAATTTATTATGAGTTGTTTTTACTTAGGGGCTTACCAAAAATTCAAATAGTAACAGTGTGTTTTATCAAATGTTAAACATCATTTTTTTTGCGCAATTTGATATATAACAAAAGCATACTTACTTTATTCATAGTACTACTTAACCCTGATCATTTAAAGTTGACAATCATTTATTTATTACCTTTTTATAAGCGATGTCGATTTTTTTTCATATTGACTTTCTTTGTTTACTTGACTACATTTTGAATTTTTTATAAAATATACGTATTGAAGATTGAATAAACTCATAAAAGATACCAGGGTTATAATATTTAAATCATATTCATTTTTATATTCAGAAACAAGCAAATAAAGGCGTTCCTTAATCATTAGGAAGATTTGCGGTTAGAACGTTTGAATTTCTTCCTCTGTTAAATTGTTTAATACCATGTTCCATTGTTGTTGATACTTAGTTGATGATTAGTGCGTTTTGTTTAATCAAGTACCTACTACATTCCTTGTTTGGAAAATCCAAAGTAGATATAGAAGTTTTTGTGGTACAGCTAAAAACAGCCATGGAAAGTATACCTATCCAAACGACAGGTAAGGAACTAATTCAAAAGGAGTGTACATTTTTGAGACAGGAAAGTCAAATGTTCTTTTCTCCGCAACATTTTTCTAAATGTAAGTAGGTTGGTTGAAAGCTATAAAACTAAAATGCTCCGTATAGCTTTTAAATTAATTCTCAGCTTTATTTGCAAGATGAAGTTTGTACAGATAGGACTCTTGATATTTGTTATTTTACAACTGGTCTCTCAAAGCATGGCACACTGTGGTGAGTATCCTTTCTTCGGAGTGTATTTCAAAAGACTAAATTTTATTTGTAATAATAATAATAATAATAATAATAATAATAATAATAATAATAAAATACCAGTCAGCTCTACAGTAAACTATGTATGAGGCTCTCATGAAATGCGATGAATTAAACTATAATTGCCGTTACAATATAAAATTTATCAATATATGCAACATTTACATTTTTCTAAAAGTTGGAATATTTAGAAAGAAATTTAAATCTAGTGACAACAATATATATTATGATATATGCAAATTTGTACAGTAAAACGGTTAAAATCAAATATAACTTCAAATAGAATCGTTTTCATAACAGCGTAGACAACCGTAAAACTTTTGTTGGTAATAATACTGAATAATTTACCTTTAACTTGTTTGCCATCGGCTATCGATAACAATGATTTTACGCTCACTCAGTCTATCAGAGGCCTTCCAGTGGGGATTTAAATAATGATTACTTGTAATACACATAACGATACATAAAATGAAACTTTCTTTTCACAAACTTTAAAAGATTTGTTTTAAATATTTTGTATACCATCACATACAACAGTTTCATTTTAAAGAATAATAATGTTCAGAGCTGATATCATTAAATAATCCAAAAATACGTTTATTCATTGTAAAAACCCAACTTTAAGTTGATGGGGTTAATTCACAAAATATCTTATTGATTACGAGAATAAGTACTTCTACGTTGTAATCATTTTAAAAGAGTGGCCTACTATTTATTCAATGCATACATGTAGGTTTTGTTTGTGAAGAGTTCCGGATAATTAAAAAATCATAGATCTTTTTTACATAAATCGATTCATTCATTCATATATTTATCAGTTTGCCTTGGCTATTCAAGTCCAACACAACGTCTCACGAATTTTTTTTTTTTTTACAAAACTTATATTCTTGTGATGTTTTCTTTTGTTGAAGAATGAATGTTGCCCCCCTTTTTTTTTGTGTCTCATTGACGTATTAGACAACCGGACTACCCCCTTTCTTCATATTTAAAAACATACAAGACGACATCAATACCAATTCATGACACAAAATAACTAAGTTAAACTTACAACAGAAGAAAGATAATGAACATAGCTTTTATTGTCTACCTAATATCGAAGTCAGAATGTGGTCTTTGTAAAGATGTTGTAAATTAATCAAAAACAACAAAAAACAAAATAATATGAATGTTTATTTTGGAAAAAGTAACGTTGTGTAAATCATTACAATTATTTTATTTCAAATGAATATCAAGCTGTTGCATTTTTCCGCTGCGAGCAAATTTTGACTTTTGACCGCATTTTTAAAATTAATTTTCTTGTTGTAATCCTGTTGGAAGCTGCGCTGTGTAGTTTATTTTTCTTGTATTGTTTAATGCCAAATATAGTCAAGACAGACAAAAAAAATTGGAAGGTTACATGTTAAAATAGAGAATGGAGATGGGGAATGTTTCAAAGAGACAACAACCCGACCGAAGAGTAAACAAAACAGCCGAAGGCCACCAATGGGTCTTCAACACGGCGAGAAAATCCCGCACCCGAAGGCGCACTTCAGCTGGCCCCTTAACAAAAATGTGTACTAGTTCAGTGAAAATGGACGTCATACTAAACTCCTAAACAAATAAATAAACAAAAATTAAAAAAACATACAACTTGAAGACTAACAAAGGCCAGAGGCTCCTGACCTGGAACAGGCGCAAAAAATGCGACGGGGTTAAAAATGTTTAGTGAGATCTCAACCCTCCCCCTATACCTCTGGCCAATGTAGATTAAACAAACACACAGCAATACACCGCTACATATTGTGCCATTGTCGGGCTGGGGAGGGTGCATGTTATACTGATTTAACCCACTTGATTGTGTGCCTGCACCAAGTCTGGCTAGGGAGGGATTGCATGTTAAACTGGATTACCCCCACTAAATTTTGAGCCAAACGTCCGGTTATCCGGGTTGTGTGTTGTTCATTGTTGATTAAACGTCTATTTTTACTATTTATGGACATGATTCGACGGTCCTTGTTGTTGTGGTCTCTTTTAATTTTCCTACCTTTTATTTTTTTATGTATTATTGTCGTATAACAGATCTATGGCGTTTAATTACGAAACTATCTGCAATATATTTAATAGTCCTAAACATGCATGACAAACTTGACACTAGACGTAACGCAAACAAAAATCAATTCACCAATGTATCTAAAGTCACAATTGATACAACTTTATATAAACATAAGGAGATGTGGTATGATTGCTAATAAGACAACTATCCGCCAAAGTTCAAATGAAGTGGATGTTAGCAATTATAGGCAACCGTACGACCTTCAACAATGAGAAAAACCCATACCGTATAGTCGGCTACAACAGTCCCCGACATGAAAAATATGAAACAATTCAATTGAGAAAACCAACGGCCTAATCTACAACAAAACAATTAACGAAAAACAAATTTTCTGCTCTTTGGTCGGGTTGTTGTCTCTTTGACACATTCTCCGTTTCAATTCTCAATTTTATTATAGATATAACTGCATATAAAAATAAGAATATGTGGTGTGATAGACAATCAGACAAATCCCTTCCAGTGACCAACAGACGTTAGCAAAATAGGTCACCGTACGACCTTCAACAATAAGCAAATCACACACTGTATAGCATGAAAGCTTCAAATGGCCTTGTCATGACAAACACGAAAGTTGAGTGGATGCAGAACAGAGCGAGAGAAAAATCACGGATACCGCATGGAAACCAGCAAATGGTCCGCAATATTACTTTGGTCAACTCACTAACTAGAAATTAAAGACCTGGCGAATTTAAGTCCTTATCTATGGCTGAGATGTATTTAAAAAAAAAAAGGAAAATCAAGGTTTGTTTGGACATTTTTATAATGCAAGTCTTGGTTTTAAATTATTTGCGAGTAAGCTTAAGGAGTCAATAACAAATAATCACTCCCAGAAAGACGGGCAAATCTATTAACAAAAGAAAAAATGAATATACGAACTACAGTGCACAATATATTATATGCATGTTTTATTTGCGATCATAAAATGTACGAAGTCGTCCATTACTCTGTAAATTGGGTCGATTTAAAAAAAAAGCTGAATACGTTTCTGTTGCCAAGGGTTTTTCACAAGTATAGTAGTTAGCAGAAAAGTTCACCAAACTATACATTTTACCTGTTCAATAACGTAAATGCAAATTTCACAAGGCTTGGTCCAAATAGCTTTTTACTGTTTAATAACTTGCAAGTACGAAAAAGACAGGACAGAAGTATATTTTGTCTATATGTTTTGTATTTGCACACTTTTTAAAGTTGATCATGCATTCGTTCTAAAATAAACTTTTGACCAGATAAAAGTTAAAAGATGACATAATTGGACAACCGCAATTGTTAAATCGCTTTGACGTCCGAAAAAAATATAATAATCAACACATGCATTGTAACTTTTAAAGCCAGTTCAATCCTTTTTTATTTTGCTGAAAGAACGTGTGATATCATAAAAATTGATTATCAAAACATAACAAAAACATAAGTAAATAACGTTTAAGTATTCAATATAAATCAAAACACAAAGGTTATTCCTGATTAGTTTTTCGAATTATTTTATTTAGGCGTTTAGACCCTTTGGTGACCCCACAGTTAAAATGTCTATAATAAGTACGTTGTGAGCAGTGGGCGTTACAGACGAACGTTCACCTAATCTAACTCAGTCAATGGGATATTTTAGCGCGCCAATCAATGGTCTCGTTTACACTGTTATGCACATGATTCTAGATCAAAAAGAAATTAATTCAAAACAAAGCAAAACAATTACACATAACAAATAGACACAGTACTTTAAAGATGAAAAAGCGGGAACTGTTTATGGAAAATTGTGTAATTTACTTTCACGACATATTTTTAAAAAAAGATTTTTTTATATTTTTCAAAGCATGCATTATAATTTTCCAATTTTTCTGACAATAATCATCTATCGAAAAAGCGGGGTTTTTATCTACGCACAACAGTGTAATTAAAAGAACAAATTGAACAAACTCATAAACAAAACGTTTCTGGTTATGACCAGTTTCATAAAATTTCATTTGACAGTTAAAGTTTAAAGTCTTTGTCCACACCTACTAAAATAAAAGGCCGAAAAATACAAACGATAATAAAACTTTGAGTGAGATGAAGTGGGAGATCACTTAATGAAATTTGCTGAAATAAAAGATGAAATAGTAAACATAAATGTCCGTATTTAAATCGTTCATTAATTTACGAACTAATTTATCTAACAAACTGACATCATTTTCAAACAAAACTGCAGTATTTATTCAAAATATAGATAATTTAAATTGCTGACAATTTTCTTTAATAAACAAATACAACAGTTTTTAATCAGGATTAATAAAACGGAAATGCACAAAGAAAAAAGTACCAGTGTCCAAAATTATTGTTTTACCTAGGAGATACTATGCAACTCTAATTCATAGTGAATGTTATAATAAAGTCTTTTAAAAATGTATCAAATTATAAAAATTTATACGCTTTGATTGAAGCCAAAATTATGCAAGAAAGGCGTGCATTTAATTTTACAACATTGATAGTTTGACATATTTCCTTGACCAAATTCTCTTATTTCATTACTTATATATAAGTACGGTTTTCGCAACAATCAGTGTTAATGACGTCGTTTTTAAATATTCTAAAATACTTGTTTTCTTTTATATATATTATTCTTAAGATTTGGATTAACGTTCAGCTTACTGTTTTTATATAGATATAAGAAGATGTGGTATGAGTGCCAATGAGACAACTCTCCATCCAAGTCATAATTTATAAAAGTAAACCATTTTAGTATGTTTTCTATCATTATTGAATAATTTTTTATAACATTTTGAACCTTGAGATGAACAAATTTGTGTAGTATATACATAACGCGTTTTATAAAATCTATTGTCATCACGGGAACAGTATCGACGGTATACAGGTACAGATACACAAACTGGTAGTTTATTAATCCATTACATATACATAAAAACATAAATAGGGCATATCAATTTCATTTAGAAGAGATAGAAACTATACATAGACAAACAGTTACTTAAAGAAGGTTTACTTCAAACTAGGGAGAATATATTTTATGATCTATACAAAAATAAGATGGTCAAAATCAATCACTGTGTCATTTTTAATCATTTGGTAGCAAACTGAAGAGGGATTGGATAAATAAATCATACATATTTTCGATGTATCATATGTTGCTTCATTCATGGTTTCAAGCTTGTGATCTGCTTTTTTTCACGTGATACATACATTCTTTCTTGTAGATTGCTGCATTAATTATGTTGATCTTGAAATATGTGGCTTCAAACAAGCAAGAATGTGTCCTCATTTACAGAAAAAGGTATAGTTGTTAATCTTTTTAGGTATTTTTTGTATATAAATCGAATGGCAAAAATGGGGTTCTTTAATTAATTACCTTTTGTTTTCACAACCCAAATAACGCACTACATCTTACCACATATAGTAGTTCACAATTTCTTGTTTTTTTGCTACAAATTGGTAGAAATATATTACATTATAAGCACAACTTTAAAACCATTTCGGAATTTACAGAGAAATTTTCATTTAGTGGCGAAAGTTGAGATTTCATATTCATATAAATCCAACTACTAAACGTTTTTTTAAAGATATTTGTTTACTGGTTTAGAATATTTTCCTCGGAGTCCGAGAAGAAGAAAACTTAGCGGAATTAACTTTGAAAAGCATGATAAATAAGTTATGACAGTTTATAACAGACATTAACCATCTAGACATAAACAAATAGTTTTCACTTGTTTGTAAAGTAAACTTTAATTAATGGAAACTTGTAGACCAATTTAAATTATTGTCGCTTCAACTTAATGTCATAGTTAGTGGCATTTAATATTTAAAATTAATCCCGAACGTGTTGAAATACTGATATCATTTATACTACTTTCATTTGCTTTAAAGTTGTTCTACTTAGTCTTTCTTTGAATTTACATAGATTATTAAAATGCCTAAATACAATATTATAAATTATAAAAATAAAACATTCTATATAACGTTGTTAGAAAAACACCCAATCAAGTAAGTAAGTTGGTTTCCTGTAAAGTTAAAGATTGCTACAAATGCAACCAAAACTTCGTTGTTACTGGCTTGACAGATATAATTAGCTTTATTCCAGGATTCATCTCTACATCACTTAGCATTTTAAAGAAAGGTGATTATTCTGTATATCCTATTCATGCCCAATCAAATAATTTATCAATAATATGTGCTCACATAATCAAGTTATAAAAGGATGAGTAAGTGTATAATCATACTTGACCTAGAAAACTATTTTAATATAAATTACATAAGTAACACAGCTTTACATGCAATATAAATCTATCTTTGACCAAGGGAAGATAACTCAAATTCAAAATATTGCCTATGTTTTTCAATCTCTTAATACTATTTATTTAACATTGCCACATGAATACAAATTTAACTCCTTAGATCTAACAAGTCTATTGCTATATCGTGTTAATACCTGTTATGTCTTTATTGGAGTTTAGAGAGCATTATTTCTTTCGGAATTTTTTTTCGAGACACTTACAATTTGTTAGACAACTGACTGTTTAAATTCAAATTGTGATTCACAATTAAGTGTATATTTGATCTTTGAATACCCTTCTAGCTCAAAAACATGCCATTTGAAATAGGGCCTGGACAACAATGTTAGATTTTCTCAAACCTTATCTATATAAACAATAAACAATAATATGTGGTCAATAAGAACGGAGTAATGAAGGTATAGAGATATAAATAATTAATATGAACCGCAATTATGATACATTTAAATTTGGAAATAACTTTGTTTAACTGTCTTCCGTATTAATGTCAATCTTTTTCTTTCAGGTTAAAAATTATGAGCAATGTGTCGAACTTTCAGAAATACCTGAGCAAAGATTGAAGTTTCTTGCCAAATAAGTGCATTTATGAAACAGTTGGGGGAATGATTGAAACAACAGGACAGCTAAATGCAGATCAAAACTCGATACTTGGATACTTGCGAAGTACTTCGATACTTGAAAACTGACGTGTGTACCAATGGCAATGTGGAAGGATAAACTTATATTTAAAATTTCAACATACATTTTGTAATTTATTTGAATGAATAAGTCTAACGTTTAAATTTGTCAGTACTAATAAACTTGTCCCTTTTTGGATATACCTTTCAGTTCGGTATTTTGTAATACTTTTTAGATATCTTTTAAAAAACGTTTCTCATGAAGACTTGAATTTTCGTTAAAGAGTAATGTAAGAAATGTGAGTCGCCAAAAAAATTCATAATTTCAATAAGAGGAAACATATAACACTTTATATAATAAGTGTTTTAACATCCCTGAATTATATTTTTACAAGCAATGCAGGTCCAATGTCTCGTTTTATTGGTTGATTTTGGATACGACGTCTGTAGCGTTCAATTTAACACCAAACATGTTCTTTTAGAAACGGAGGCCGTTTCTCTTTCATTTTTCTGTCCACGAAATTCATGGCTTGCACATGGAACGTGTAGCTTAGCATTGTCTAGTCGGTGGTTTATCCGATGTTGCTCATTTTATTAATAACATTCAGAAAAAATGAGGGTGTTCTTCCCTTGCTTTGATACAACCATCCCTCCCTAACTATTACAAACACATGGTTTCCCCCTGATTGTTCGAATTATGGTACTTATATAGGACATTACACGCATCCATGGAACGTTCTGTTTCCTTGTAACACAATTTATGTCGACAGTAACTGCTTGTTAAAGCCATTAATTCTATACACAAGACGTATATTACGTCTTAATAAACCTCACAAAATATCCTCGAACCAACGGTAAACGAAATTTATATGAACACGGAATGTTTGCCTAGTCAGTCCGATATCTTAATCGCAAGTGCTGTCTATACCGCACAAACCTCATCACAAGAAAGTTGACAGTTGTGATCATTATACCAATAAAAAGGAGTGATATGATTGTCAATTAGACAAATATTCATCGAAAGATGAAATGACATTCATATAAACATTTGAAAGATCATGTCCTAGTGGTTACACCTGTCGTGTTGCTTAAATCGCATTATGTGATGTCTTAATGTCGGAAAAGATGAAACCAATGCGACAACAATATTTGTCGTGAAAACGATTTTCAATGATGGTCAAAATAAAGTTATGGTAGCGTCTGTACAATTTTCGAAGAAATTACCTTTCCATGAAGAGTCTTTGCAAAACAAATTTCTTGTAACCGACCCTCTAGCACATACACATTATGTGATAGGTACCCCCTGTATAGTAATAACTCGATCATAACAAAAATACTCCATAGGCATGACGCTGGATTGTTGCTTAATAGAAATTAACAGTAAACAATTTAGCACAATAACAAGAACTCAAGCGTCAAAGTACAGAAACAAATGTGTTACAAATTCCCATTCTAGTCATTATAAACAATGTTATGCAAACAAAGATCCTTTTATTGTATGCATTCTCTTTTTTTTCAAATAATATTAACGGTAACATTTTACTTCATCGGGTGGGCATTTCGAATAATGTATCGATGTGATGAACGAGGTCAAATATTCACTCTTCATAACTGGAAAAATTATTTCAAACAGTAACGAGCTGATATAACCGGGGAGAAAAAAATAATAACCCGACCCGGTCAAAAAACGTGTACTTATTATTGACAACTTCAATAACACCTACATGTTATTACTACTACTGGGTCAATACAACTGCTGGTGGACGTTAGTCCCCGAGGATATCACCGTCTACTTCTATACTTGCATGGAAAGACAGATATTGTTTATTGAAATTTGCTGTATTAACATTTTGGAAATAATGTTATATTAAAGAATGTATCTCCCTAATACATAGCTCTGATTTCTTATCATGGCTTTACTTTTGGTCTTTTTAAGTTTAAATCAGATCTTCAAAATATGTATTATGTCTTTTATTTTAAATTTTTTGGTCCAGAGCATTACTAAAGAAATATTCATATCCAAAAGTATTACAACGATCGATATTTACAAAATGTGTTAACCCAACAAAAGTACCATAATTCGAACAATCAATGGATTCCATCGATGATGGTGGTTGAAAGAAGGGTAAGTGTGAAATGAAAGCGAAATCGTAGATACTCGTACTGAATAAAGATTCGCTTATAAGGTCGCTGATTCTTCAAAACAAGTAATTAAAATCCTCGATGGTTCTATGCTGTATCTTCTTTCAAAAGTGATAAAAACATGTTTGACTTCAACAAAAAATAATACCAGGGTGACAACCAAAAATCACAGATACAAATAAACTGCTCACGGAAGAAATTAAAATCCCAGTATTTTCGTAGGTCGGTTTTTGCGCAGCATAAGAAAAACATGTAGGGCTTTTTAAAAAAAATCTTTTTTCAATATCAATTTTCCCAAAATGGTTCTCTCACATACAGATTAAAGTAATACAAAATGATGTGGTTTTACTAAGAGATAATTGATGTGTATTGTGCAAAAGGCAAACGGTAAGGATTTTCAAACATTTTGGAAATTGCAAAGATTTTGCGTGCGAAACATTAGCAAAACTTTGTACAAAAAGTGTCACAATTTGCATATTTTGACACATATCTGCGATTTAAAAATATTGATAACATGCAGGGTCAAAATAGTTTTAACAAGAAAAGTTGTGTAGATATAGATAAACATGGGAGTAAATTATTTAATTGGTACTTGAATGTTTTCCATATTTGAGAGTGGAAAAACTAGTTGAAATAAACGTTATTGGATTTTTCATTTACAAAATTTTAAATGACTTTATGGATCGTAAATAACCTGTTTTTGATTTTGTATTATCGTATATCTAAAGTAGACATCATAAGAAAATTGAAATTGAAAGGTTCAAATTTCCCTGAATAATAAGTCTGAATGATGCTGAAAGATTTTTATGAAAATGATATGATATTGATGATGAATGATTGAATGATGTCATTTTTATTTCGAAAAATTCTTATTTTTTTAGTTTTTAGTCTGATTCCAACACCAGGGAATTACTAATTGTTGGAACAATATCATTCAGATTTCAATTTCAAAAAGTGCACTGTTATTCAACGTCATTTTCCTGAATGTTGTCAATAACGAGTTTATATGGTCGGAAAAGGTCATTTTAAGGGGTGGCATAGTGTATTTATTATTGAAGTTTATTTTTAAAGTTTTCCGGAAAGGGGTATAAAAAAATGCACATTTTCAAAAAAGAATTGAAACTAGTTTTTTTCGAAATGGGTTAATTCATCATTGAAACAATATAATAAAACAACACTTTATAAATCTCTTTCATCCGAAGCGCTTTTCTGGATTTCCCTTCATCGAGAACACTCAAACCTTAACATTTAATAGCCAGAGGTGTATGAATACGTAGAAACGTTAAGAGGTATATGTCCAAAAGGACCTAAAAAGAAATTTCAAGGTCAAAAGTGCATCAGAGAGTTGAAACCTTAGTTTCTTAAAAATTTCTTAATTTATTAACGGAAAATTTCAGAAAAAAGTTTAATAATAATAACAGTATCGAAGCACCGACTACTGAGTTCAACTTTCACATTAATTATCAGCATTCCTTGCAATTGATATAGTTTTTGGCTGCATGTCAGTGTGTTTGTAATTCCTCATTGAGACCGTCATATGTTTTCAAACCTTCTTTTCAAAGTACATTTGTATATCGGATAACTGAAGAACTTTTTTTTCTATTTTTGCTTTTTAAAACCATCTCACCTATGCGGAGGAGACATCATTGCCTTCTACAAAATTTAATAAGGACTCTGTAAAACTACAGAAAATGATCCAATCATTTTTGTTCAATTCATTACGTTAAACAAATTTAAGAACTTCAAAAGTTCACAAATTTCACACTGGTCCGTGATCGTATAGATTTGATGTTGACGTGTACCAATTCTGGTGGTAATGAATTTCGTTTCTTCTACCCACGTCGAGGGAAGACTCGTGGAATCCCTGTCTATGTCCATCCATGTCCATTTTATATCGTCCTTGTCTTGTACAAGGTTATTAGTTGCCTTCGAAATACCTCGGAAGTAATTGTCCTATTACAACGTGATTTACACCATAAACAGTTTTAACTTATTCCGCAAACGATGCGGTATCTCGCTTTTTACAGGATTATTTTCATGTGTCAAATCATTTCCACCGATCAGCATATGTAGTAAAACGCATAATGTTTTTTTTAATGCATTTAGGTCCCCGTCGTGATGTTTTCCATACGATTCTGAAAATTATATTATTATATTCTCAATTAAAGTCGGACTTGTTTCTATTTATTTAAGCCTAGATATGTTTTCAAAATAATTCCTCACCCCTCCTATCCTAAAGTTGAACATCAACCCCTATCTTAAATGTAAGAATACTAAGACATACGATATAGTGTTGTCATGTTTATCAAAATATCTCTTGTACGATTCATATTCTTGGTCCAAATATTACATTTTCTTTTATTTACATATTAAATTATAGTAAAAATAAATTTTTCAATTGTTGATTGTATCTTCAATCATATATATATATATATATATATTTATATTGAATTAATATATGTATATCTAAGGGATGTCAACTCGGTGAAGATTTACTAATCGAGTACTTGTTAATTTACCGAGCGATACTCGATTGATTGATTGATTGTTGGTTGCTTTACGCCGCATTAGCACAACAAGGCTATATCGCGGCGATAGCGATACTCGAGTACTCGGACAAACATCTACAAAATGAAAACACAAAATTATATCCATTTTACTTATTGTGGGTCGTTGTCTTATGGACGTTAAACCCTCAACATTATCATGATTATTTCCTCGAAACAAGATAATAGTTCCAGGAATTTTATACCATAATTAATAGCTCATTTACTTTAAGCACTAATTATGTAAACTGGCAATAATTTAATCAATTAATTAATAAACATCTATAGAAAAATGTTTACTCAAACAACAGTATGTGTGAGTAGTAAAGAAACACTTAATGATCAACAAAAGGGTGATGATTAGAACTTACTGATGCCTTTAACCATTCTCTGAGGGTCGACATAGGGTGCAACGAATTTGGTCTTATTTAGAAATGTTATATTGTCAACTTTTTTTGGGACAAGTGGATTTCTCAACTTTGTTACGTAACTAACAGTCCTGTTGATAACAATATTTGCTCT